CCTTCAAGTTTCTAATTAGCTCAAACATCCTGTCCGGCATAATCTGAACCACGTTTGGCATAGCTGTTTCGTCGCTGTCGGCCCAAATAGCCTCTACCGCCGCCTTCAGTTCATCCGCGGTATTATACTGCCGGTTGCTAAAGTTAACGCCTTGATCAAGGGCTCCCTATAGGGTTGCAGTAAGGAGGACACACAAGCCAATCTATCGCTTCAGCACCATTTGGTTAAGGCCATTCTTTGGTAGATTGCGAAGCATCGAAAGACACGTGGTCCTGTTGCTAAAAATGCAATTTTCGCTCCGCTTCGCTAAGAAAGGGCAACAGGTGACATTGGAGCACTGCTTGGTATTCTTTACAGTTCATACGCAATAATGGAACGGCAACTTCTGAATTTCCGCTGATTGCGAAACCGCCGCAGACCCATCAACGGGCCTCCGAAATTCCTTCTCGAGAGCACGAGCGACTCACGGCCAAGCCTCTCCAGTAGTAGCAAAATCCACCCGGCCCGTCAAGATCGAACTCTTTCCATGAGTTAAGATTACCTGAGGAGAGAAAGTCCATAAAAAGTTGCTTGTTTTGAAAATAGGAAATTCTCGAAAAACCGTGTCTTCGCCCGGTGTCCTATCCTATGTTGCCATGTCTGTACGAGCAGACTCCAATGTGGCTAACTTGTGCTGGGCCTTGAAGTGAGTAGCCTTTCTCAGCGTCTGTCGAGTGGTGTATTCATTTGAGCGGATGAGGGGCTTAGTGGTCATTTTCGAGGCTGGAATAAAAATCTGAGCTCGGACTGTCAATGAAGAATCCGACAGGATGTGGGCTACTCTTTTGTTGTTCTGAGCAGTCAAGGATCGTGGATGGAGCGGAGTGTGTGCTGAGTATAATTATCAGGGTGCCAGATAAATCTTCGAATGCATTAAGGAGAACGACCAAGTTATCGTGCGATTTCTAGATTGGAACGTTCATTATCATGCAGAACCTTGATCTGAGCTTGCTCATCTTCAGGAAGAAGTATGGCGCGAATTGACATGATGACGAAATGAAAACAGCAAAGTCGGATTGAAATCGGTGGAAAATTCGGCGCCAAAATCTGATCTTCTTCAAGTGTGCACATACTTTTGAAACGCAGTGTAGACAAGCTCTATATGGTCAACGCATAAGATCAATCAGGTGGGTAACACGTTTTATGGCTGGTTCATGGTTTTTTACTCCTTTCATTTGTAGTATTCTTTGTTGATGGTTTTTCTTCGACTTTTTCTACTTGTTGAACGGCTTTAAGGCGGAGAATGGGGTAGCAGTGCTGCTTTTCGATGAAAGGTTTTCAGGATTTAATCAACTTTTCATTTCTCAGAGACTCATTTCTCATATTGGGGTATTGCCCTGGGAGCACGGACGAGTCAGTATTGCTTCCGCTGCGCGAGTAAATTCGAAAGCGCTCCACTCAATGTGCCCGCGAACCGTGCTGACGGAGTGTTTCGAATCTGCAAGCACCAAGCACTAGCTCCTCGGCCGCGCTGGCTATGACCACACCCCTAGCGTGAGAGAAATCCTGAAGCCTTTTTCCACACGTAAGCTCGTGAAGACAGTTATTTCATGGACTTCGGTCGCTGGAGTAGCAAAGGGTTGTTTTCGAAATTTTCCTTGACGCTTCGCTTGACCCTGTGTGACCTCTCAGGATGTCGAGCCGACAACGATTACATTGTAATTAAAATGAGAAATGGGCAGAATACGGTGAGCATGTACATACAGGGTGGGCAAAAATTACGGTAGCAACATAAAACGGTAATAAAAAACAATGTGGTCAAGAAGTCCCAAATTAATATCACATCATGTTGGTGGAAGGCCATAACAGAAAGCAATATTGCCCTTTGAAGTGACCGCTTTCTGCGTTGAGAAATAAACGAAGATTTCCCTACTAAGTCACCCTGTTGTGTAGGTCGGTGTGGTAAAGTAGGTCCAAGGCTTTCAAGAGCGACTGCTCGACCAGTCGATGCTCCTATTATGCTTATAGCAATGCTTTGCCTTCGGCACACTCAATACAGAAATTGTGGTAGGACTAGCGTTGGGAGAGCTATGTTGCCACTTCTCCAGTATGATGATTTCCAAGACAATCGGGTTGCGTCGATTTTTGGGCAATTTCTGCATTGTGAATGGGCGCCCAATATTGCTCTGATGCCCTGTGTTTCCCATTGAAGGTCCTTACGGTATGAAGCATCAGCCGAGATAGAAGGAGCTCGAGATGATTTCTACTATCTATCTATCTAACAAGGGAAGGATACCAGGTCGAAGTGGCCATTTGTAATGAAACCTATACTCACAGATGTGTTTTCGGACGCTGATCTCAAATCCGTCTTCCAAATTTGCGAAACGATTCTCTGAACAGAGTTACAAAGGTTCTTTCAATGAAAGCTCACCCTAAGAGGGGCGGGCAAACTGCCAGTGGCAGCAGCGGCTTGGCCGAGAGGTAGTGCTCGCCGCTTAAGTTGGTGAGACCATAGATCGCATCCTGCTAACCGCCATATTTTGCAAATTTATGGTTGCGTTTCTTTTCAGCACAGAAACTATACAGTGCTGAAATTTGCACTCTGTACATCGCTGTCACATCTTTGGAGGAAGTTTACTTTGAGCATCTACTATATCGTCATACTATTGTGACCGGTTCTTTCACAAGTGCCGGGTGTTTCTACGTCACGGAAGGTGTTTCATCAAATTGGAGATGTGATATGGTTGCTTAGCGGGCAAAAGGCTAACTTCTAGAAAACTGACATTCGAAACTAAATTCCAAAAGTTGGGCGAGAATCAGTGGGCGTCACCGAATCTGAATACGAATATCACCTTTTATTTGCACGAAAGTTTCTAGAGCGTGCGCTATGGGTACCAGAGGCGGTCATTTGTGAATGGCGAGGACACTTGATCGAATTCTCGCTAGCTCGTTACACTTGTATTATAGGCAAGGGCTGATAAATTAGCATGAATGAGGGTCTCCTTAACAATGTCCACGGAAAAAGCAAAAGTCAGAACTCGCCGAAAATCGATCTCACGACCTCTTTCCGTCGGCCCGGGCCGCTGCCACTGCACTATCTCGCTTCATAACTACGTTCAGAGAATCGTTCCGCAGATTTGGAGAGCAGATTCGAGATCAGCGTCCAAAAACACATCTAGTGGTGTATGTCTCGTTACAAATGGCCACTTCGACCTGGTATCCTTCCCTTGTAAGCAGTGGAGGTCTGATGTGTCTTCGAATCGTGATATCTGCTCTTGCGAACTTTGCAAAATCCATCACGTGGCTAAATGGCTTTTCACTAGCATTGGTCCAGTTGCCCTTTTTATTCCAGAGTGGCCAGACAGCAGACCATCTTCCCACTAAGGGAAGCGATCGATAAATAAAGCTCATGACGGAATCCGGACAGTGACTTGTAGCATCTTTGCTTTCTATTCAATTTTCCCGAATCGGTTGTATGTTAAGCATTTTCATGATTGCAATCCTTTTTGTTAAGACGTGTGTGAACAAATCGTTGCAAGGAAGTGCGCTAGATAGCAGTTTCAGCGACAAAACGACGGAATGAACCAGCTAGCTTCCAGCGCTTGTTCGCACGTATCTTCGAGATATTACTCGTGAAGTCGCAGAAACAATCCTCTGAGGTCCAGGCCTATTGACTGGTAACTAGCCTATTGAACTTCGTAATGGTGGCCGATGAAGGTTTCAAAGAGCTTCTGAACCCTCATGCAGTGCAACACAATCAAACAGTTCGTCGGAGCTAAGTAGTGATTGTTTCTCAAGGAGTTAAAAGATTGTCCATCCCGAGTGGATATATTTTATGTGACGAAATCAAAGACGGAACACTGAACTATCAAAACAAATGCATAGGATATACATCAGAAACTCCTGGTGTTTAAAATTGGAAATTGACAGCAGCAACCTTGTGTTACCGTAATTTTTGCCCACCCTATATATACAAAAATCAGCCGAAGGATAAAAGGATAAAGCATTTGCCGTTGATCAATCCCTTTTTGGGATGCGGCACGCATTCTACTTCCATTTGTACATTCGTAGTGGCGTTTGAATGCGATGTGGCCTATACAATGCGGGGGCCAGCCGATGTACAAGTCAGTGTTTTTATCCTCCCAGACAAGTCTGGTACCAATTAACCGACCCCGGAGGGATGGAAGGCTTGGTTGGCCCGGGCGACTCACGACCCAGGATTTGATCCCCGGACCGCTCGCGTGGTAAGCGTGCCACTTGCCACTACACCACTTCCGCCATCAGTAGAAGTAAATACAAAAATATCGGTTCGCAGAATGCATTTTTCTCAGGAATTTTTGCGAAAACTACCTCGAAACTACGTTTAGCTCTCTTTTTTGAGCAAACTACCTCGAAACTACGTTTAATTCTCTGAAGAGTGTACGCTGGTTATATTTGTCCCTTTTTGCCTCCCTTATTGATAGGATTTCCAGTACTACAATTTCGGATAATTTGGACATTGCTGAAATTCCTGTGTGCCATTCACTTCTTGCATTTTTCTCATAAAAATTCACCTAGTAGGTGTGAGTTGGCCGTTCTCGCAAAAGCGCGCATTCCGCTCGTCCCAAAAACTAGTACAATGAGCACAAGCTGCACTGCATTTGTGACCCACCTAGTATGTACCTCATGAAAGTTATGTAGATTTGCGCACTCGGAGAGGTAAAATTGCTTTTGAGAAAACCTTAATGGTGCTATTCGCTAAATTGTTCAGGTTTAAACGCTTAACCCTTGTGCCCTAAAGCCGGAAGAATTTTGATAATCCGATGGAAAATGTACTTCGTGCAAGGTACAAGATAGCACAGCCGTGTTCCTTCAATTTGTAGGGATATCCGAACACGTGCTCACTTAGTTCTGGTGAATATTCCCTCAGTATGATTGACTCATTATAGGTATGTAGTCTAAATGCGACGCTAATTCTTGAAGAAATTGCTGAGGATCGGTTTACGAGAGATACTTCACAAAGAATGGAAAAGAAGCGAGGAAAAGCTGAGGAGGTGGCGAAGGAGACAGTTTTGGTTACGATTTCCATGATTAGATTTGAATAAGGTCGAACAGGAAACCAGGAGCAAAACCCATTCGTGGTTATATAGGACGACGTTGTTTGGGAGAGTTCAACCACGGATTATGCAGATACGTATTCCAAATACTGTTTTCCTTTGAAACCACTGCATGAAGAAAACACCGAAATCAAACAGCTGCAATAGGTGAGTTTCAGTCGTGGGAACTTCACCACTCTAACTATGTGAATTTATGTTAGTAAAGACACGATGCATTGAAGGAGCGCCTTCCATCACTATCCCAAATATCTTTCATTTTTTAATTGCTTAATTACACTCATCCAGAAAGTGGTACACTTCACTCTTCAAAGACCGCCTCGAAGGTTAGCATATTGTCTTACCTTTGTGCCTAGCAGACGAACCAACACGGATTACTCCTCACTAATCCAACCATTGTTATTTCAGTTCCTGTTTCGTAAATCTTCAAAAGTAGCTTTATACTTCACTCTGTACACAATGACGCAGGAAACGTGGGTTCTGAAAATCTATCACGTGCCTGGAGACGGAATAGATATCCAAAATGTTATATAGCAGAGCGAACATTGATAGGACGGTGATGTAAAAGCTGTTTAACAGTGCTTTTCGAGTGCCGAGACCAAAGCGGCTGACTCACCTAACAGACACTTCAGAGTTTCGCACGACGACTTCTAGGAGCTTCCTTTTTCGTGCATCTGCAACTTCCGTTATGTAACCACATACTCTATCTGGCCAGGTGGCTGCGGCATTTCGATTCTGCACTGGTCGCGCTATTTATCCTAGAGGAAGCTATGACACATGTTTCACAAGTCAGCTGACTTCACATGTATGGAGACTGATGTTAGCACCAGAGTGGGTCTTCATTCTCAGCATTCTTATGTCCTGCGAGGTGACATGTGCATCAGTTCTAGTGCAGGTCCTACTCGCTTTTATACGGATGGTGCCCGCAGTCCTCACTTGATTCAAAATATTCAAATTTCATTTTCTGTACATTGATGTTAATTCTATCGGAGTGAAGTCCATGTTCAACCCGGCGAGTAATAGCCTTCTACAGTGCTCGGCTGACACAAAAATCCTGATTCTTGCTTTTTTTCAACATGCGACTGCATTGAAAGCAGAGCTTTCAAGAAATAGGTGAATCAAACATTGAGCACCTAAACTCTCACCTCCAGCTCAGCGATTCTTGTGTGCGCGCAGAACATAAATAAGTATATTTATTATCTATTGAATTTATTGCTCAGCAGTGAAAACAACTTTCAACACTCACACATACTTACGTGTTGAATTAAACGCTCAAAAATGCGTTATTCAAAAAAAATTGAAATAAAATCTCAAAATTGCACTCTGATGGCTACTGCGTTCAGCGTCGGAAGAGCACGAATCGTGAGAGAGATTTTGGTAATTGGGCGACAAATGCTTTCGTTGGAGTGGTCGGAGTCGGGGCAGGCGTCGGAGCCCCGTTTTGGCTTGGTGACACGAGGCCAGTGTTCGGCGTCAACGTATTTGGATCAACTCTTGACGCTGGCGTTATCAATCCGTCCATCATACCAAGCAAGTGAGGAAAGTCCAGCGCCGAACACTGAAAAGAATTTGTTCATCTAGTCATATATCACATACGTCTATTGCTATACTTGCTCAATAACTACTTCAATA